GATTCTTTGTCTTTGGTTTTGGCAAGCGTGATTATGATACATCTTGGTGACTTTCAGGGTCTGTCCTATATAGGGTTGAGTTTCTTGGTTGGTCAGCTTTTCATCTTTTTGTCAGCAAATCTTTAACAGTCTTCCCTGTGTTTACCATTTTCTCCTCCTGTTCTGGAACTCCGATCATGAGCAAATTTTTACTCCTGATCATGTCCCACATAATTCTTAAAATTTTCTTCATTCTTTTCTCTGATTTTTCCTCAAAGTGGCATCCATGGATTTGTCTTCAATGTCACTGATTCTGTCTTCCCACTGTTTCAAATTTGCTCCTAAAGCAACTACTGAGTTGTCCGTTTCTGAAATTTTGTTATCTCTTGGATTTCTAGTTGCTGTTTTTGTATGATTTCTAATGATTTATTTTGACGTTTGTTCTTGCTTTATTTTTCTGAATTCTTCTATTGATTTGTGTTTTCCTTGATTTGGGCTATTTTTTACTTGGCTTTGTCTGTATTTTCCTTCATCTCTTTCCTAATCTCTTGAAGAGCACTAAATATTAGTCTTTTGAATTTTGTATCATATAGTTCCACTGCCTTTTCTTCTAGCAGGCTATCTGATTATTTTGGTCACTTGGAGCCATCTCCTGCTTTTTTATATGCTTTGATGTTGTCCTCTGTCTCTGAGACATTAAGGTATCATTTTATTTATTGTACGTTCATTTGTTTCATCCTGCTATTTTGTTTTGTTTTGATATGCCAGGGCAAGTGGGCGAGGCGTGCTTTGCTGCTTGCTCATCTGTAGGCAGCATGGAGGGGGTTGACAGCAAGAAGGGGAAGGTGGTGTATGGGGTAAGTAGGTGGGAGAAAGAAAAGGAAGGAATAAAGAAAATAATAATTAAAATAAAAAATGGTGGTGCAGTGGTGGATGGCAAGTGGGGGTGGACTGGACCTAAGGGCCAGTGAAGAGTGAGGAGAGGTGACGCACAGAGCTAGGTGGGAGACAGAAAGAAACAAAAGAAAAAAATGGCAGCGTGGCAGAAGCCAATGGGTGAGGGCAGGTCAGACCCAGGGCAGCAGTGGGCCAGCAGCTATCTAGCCACAGAGACACGGCAAGGGATAGCAAGAAGGGGAGTGGGTGGTGTACAGGGCTAGGTGGGAGGGAGAAAGAAGAGGGGAAAAAAGCTGCAGGGTGGGAGGGGGTAGAGTGGTGGAGTGATTCATATTGTGGACACTGGTAGTGGGGGCTGCCGGAATGGGGGGGGGTTTGCTTCTACTCACCAGAAGGGTGAGGAGTCGGAAAGCATGTTTCTCTGGTTACCAGGTGCTCTGTCTCTTCTTGGGAACTCCATGAAGTTGCCTTCCCACACTCCCTGTCTGGGTTCATCGCTGGCCGCACTGTGCCTTATTAGTTGACAGGAGACCTCCACTCCATATCTCTCCTCGTTCTGTTTTCCATCAGTTTCTTCTTCCATTTGGTGTTTAATATAGTTCTTAATCCCTTCATTTGATGCTTAGGGTTCTAGGATTGATGTCTGTGCCTGTTTTCCTTAGTTTATCGGGTCTTTGCTGCAGAGGAACAGCATGGCGCGTCTGTCTAGGGTGTTGTCATGGTTTGAAATATGTCCCCCAAAAAATGTGTGATTGTAACACCTTTACCCAGGTCACATCCCTGATCCAGTGTAAAGGGAGTTTCCCTGGGGTGTGGCCTGCACCACCTTTTCTCTCGAGAGAGAAAAGGGAAGCAAGCAGAGAGTTGGGGACCTCATACCATCAAGAAAGCAGCGCCGGAAGCAAAGCGCGTCCTTTGGACCGGGGTCCCTGCACCGAGAAGCTCCTAGTCCGGGGGAACATTGACGAGAAGGCTGACAGAGAGAGAAAGCCTTCCCCTGGAGCTGATGCCCTGAATTTGGGCTTTTAGCCTACTTTATTGTGAATAAATTTCTCTTTGTGAAAGCCATCCACTTCTGGTATTTCTGTTGTAGCAGCACTAGAAAACTAAGGCCAAATCTGAGAGCGGGGTACTGCTCTAACAGGTACCTAAAATGTGGAAGTGATTTTAAAGCTGTGAATGGATAGACGTGCAGCAGTGACAGAGAACCTGCAGCAGCGAATGGCAGTGGCAGAGAACCAACAGCAACAAGGAGACCAGTGCAAGATGGTGCTGGAGCCGACCCACGGAGCGAGAGAGCTGAATGCCTGTGCACAGAGGCTTCCTGGCAGAGTGGGGTGCCTCCGGGCACTTATCGGTGGAGCTAGGCTTGCCGACCCACGGAGCGAGAGAGCTGAGTGCCTGTGTGCACGAGGCTTTCTGGCGGAGTGGGGTGCCTCTGGGCACTTACCAATGGAGCTACAGAGCTTTGGAACACTTGCCCCAGCAGGGCAGATGCGGGCATGAGGCCTGAGGGCCAAGAGGCACCAGGAAACAGAAGCAGAAGCTGAAGAGACAAGGGACACAAGAAGGCAAGCTGCTTCAGTTCTCAAAAGGTATGGCCATGACCTCGGGTTTCAAAGGGTGGAACAATGGCCTCTGGTGCTTCTCAGGGGGGAGTCGCCACTCAAATGGACTGGGAGAATGATGTGCCTAAAGCCAAGGGAACAGAGTTGCGGTCCCAATGGTCTGGAAGGCGGAGCTGAAGTCCAGGGCTGAGGGGCCTCCACTCAAAATCTGGACAGTGTGGCCAATACCTAGAGTCTGGAGGGCAGGGCCATTGTGTAAATTGTCTCAGAGAAGATAAGATTACTTTCAAAGTCTTGAGGGCTAACGTAATGTGTTCTGCTGACTTGCTTGGTGCCTGTTATCCCTTCTTTCCCTCCAGTTTCTCCCATTTGTAATGGAAATGTCTAGCTTGTGCTTGTTCTGCCATTGTACCTTTGGAAGCAGATTAATTTGTACTCTAGATATCACAGATGAAGAGGAGTTTTTGGATTTTGGACTTGGAGTTAAGACTTTTGCTATGATATGATGGGGGGAATGTTTTCCATGTTGCAAGGATGTGATTTTTGGGGGGCCAAAGTGTGGAATGTCATGGTTTGAATTATGTCCCCCAAAAAATGTATCAATTTGGCCAGGCCATGATTCCCAGAATTGTGTGGTTGGCCTCCATTACCTTTACCCAGGTCACTTCCCTGAGCCAATGTAAAGGGAGTTTCCCTGGGGTGTGGCCTGCACCACCTTTTCTCTCTCAAGAGAGAAAAGGAAGGGGAGGCAGAGAGTTGGGGACCTCATACCATCAAGAAAGCAGTGCCAGGAGCAGAGCGCGTCCTTTGGGCCAAGGTCCCTGTGCCGAGAAGCTCCCAGTCTGGGGAAACGTTGATGAAAAGGCCGAGAGAGAAAGCCTTCCCCTGGAGCGGATGCCCTGAATTTGGACTTTTTGCCTACTTTACTGTGAAGAAATAAATTTCTCTTTGTGAAAGCCATCCACTTGTGGTATTTCTGTTGTAGCAGCACTAGATGACTAAGACAGGTGTCATGTTGGCTCTGCTCCTTCCTCTAAAGCTTTTTAACTTAACGTTTCCTAAATTTTCTTCTGTGGAACAAACTTTCACTTGAAGCCCAAAGGGATCCACCATTTTAATGAGCTATAAAAGAGCTCAACGGGGAAGCCTGTTTAGTAAGAAATACCTGGGAGGTCCCAGTATTCCTTCTAGTATTATTATGCCCTCATGTCCCCAGGTCCCAGTATTCCTTCTAGTATTATTATGCCCTCATGTCCCCATAGAGACTTATTTTTTAATCAAATACTATTTAAAGCAGTGGTTCTCAAACTTGAGCACGTACAAGAGTCCCCAGAAGAGGTTGTTTAAGATTTCTGGGCCCCATCTCTCAGAATTTCTGATTCACTAAGTCTCTGGCTCAGTTAAGTCTAACAAGCAGCAGATGTCACTGGTCCAGGGATCACACTTTGAAAAACCGTGATTTAAAGCATCAAATCCTACCATCCTACAAATCTTTGCTATGCAGAATACAGAATCCAATGCCAACTCCTCCATGTTTTTTCTGCTTTCAGCCTGGGGGTTCCTATACCCCCTTACGTGGGGCATTCTCCCTCATCTTCACGGTATAAGGGAGTTAACAGATTCCTCCTGGTTATGTATTGAATTGTGTTCCCCAAAAATGTGTGTCAACTTGGCTAAGCCATGATTCCCAGTATTGTGTGGTTGTCCTACATCTTGTGATCTGATACAAATTTCCTGGGTTGTAAATCCTAATCTCTGCCGAAGGTTAATGAGGCAAGATTAGGTTATGTTAAAGAGGACTAGGGTGGGACACAACAACAGCCTTACTCAGGTTACAGCCCTGATCAGATTGTAAGAGGAATTTTCCTGGAGTGTAGCCTGCATTATCTTTTATCTTACAAGAGCTAAAAGGAGAGAGAAGTGAGCAGAGAAATAGGGACCTTATGCCACCAAGAAAGAAATGCCAGGGGCAGAGCATGTTTTTTGGACCCAGGGTCCCTGCACTGAGAAGCTCCTAGACTACGGGACGATTGAAGACAAGGACCTTCCCCAAGAACCAACACAGAAAGCCTTCCCTGGGAGTTGGCACCCTGAATTCAGACTTCCAGCCAGTGAGAGAATAAATTTCTGTTTCTTAAAGTCATCCACTTGTGGCATTTCTGTTACAGCACTACCAGATAACTAAGACACTCCAGAAATTCAGGAACTCTAACCTGCAGTTTGCCCCTCCTCTCTCATTAACCAGTAACTCACTTCCTATTGTTTGTCAAATTCTTGCAGTTTCCTGCGTATAAATTAATCTGTTTTCAGGCAGATAGCTCTGTCTTCCTCATTAGCATCTTCCTTCCAGATCCTCACCCAGAACAGTACAATATGGCCATGCACAAAGAGGACAAAATGAAAGGGAGGTGGAAGTCTCACTATACACGAGCAAGAGGACAGTTTTCAGCATTCATCTATGGAAGAATAGGTCATTTGTACAGGTTAGATATATCTGTACATAAACCTCTAGGCACTATATAAGATAAATCCCATTGATATCTTCCTACCACCTTCAGACAAAATGAAGCAATAAAGATAATTTTAAAGCACAGAGCACTTTAGCAAAAATGATCATCTAAGCGGGATGTCAGGACAAATTGGTGCAGTTTGAGGGGCACCAGCAAGTGGGCACGAAAGACAGACTGACCTGAGACAACACAGTGCCTAGCACTGGCCAAGCTCTCACAACCTGGCCTTTAGGTTAGCACTGTCATATTACCGTTCTGCTCTATTCTAAACTTGACAGGCCTGTATGGGCTCAACTAGGAGCTCAACGACCATTTGGGATCTCCCATGAGAAAATGCATGTTGAGTGATAGTCAACACACAGTGAACATTTCAGACACAAATGAGATGGAGTGACTCTACTAAGTTTATTTAAAACAAGGGCACTTCATTTTTCACTCGTATGTCAAAGAACACACAAGAATGCTCTAGTCCTCTATATCTGCTTGCCCTTCTATATCAGGAAGACATGTTCTGGAATCCCAGCTCTAAAGGGCTGATCCAAAGTTCTTCCCATGAAGAACAGCTGCTCTGTTAAACTCTTCCCAGATGATACCTCTAAAGCTCATCTCCAAATGATACTTTTTTTCCCAAGGGGTCCAAAAGAAGACTCTGAACAAGGTGATGAGCTGAAAGATGAAGACAATTCTTTCTTCTGATGCAGAAGCAAGAAATTAAGCTGGCATGAAATCCAGTCCAGGAGCCCAAACTACCCTACAAGTTCAAAACCATCTACAGGTTCTCCCTTCTCCAATCCATGAAAATAGACTAGGAATACAAGAGATGTAATTCCTGCAGATGATTCCAAAAGCTAAGTATTTTTAATTGGACTGAGAGATACAAATGGGATAAAAGAGTCTTGCTATTGAAAGGGCTTCTTCCCCAAGTGGGATTTTCGATGTTTATCGAGGCTCGAGCTCCAACTGAATCTTTTCCCACATCGGGAGCATTTATAAGGTTTCTCTCCCGTGTGGACCCTCTGATGTCTATTAAAGTCTGACTTCTGAATGAAACTTTTCTCACAGCTGGAACATTTATATGGTTTCTCTCCTGTGTGGATTTTCTCGTGATGGCGCAATCCAGACACGTCACTGAAGCCTTTCCCACAGTGACTGCATTTACAAGGCTTCTCTCCTGTGTGGATTCTCTGATGCTTCACAAAGTCTGAACTCCGCAGAAAGGCTTTTTTGCAGGTGTGGCACTGAAAATACTTCTCTCCAGTGTGAGTTCTCTGGTGAAACACAAGCTGAGAATTCCTGTAAAAGGTTTTCCCACACTCTGTGCAGGTAGGGAGCTTCTGGGTCATGGGAGGTCTCAGCTGACCTTTCTGGGGGGCCTCTGGCTTCTCCTTGAGCCACAGCACAGACAGGTCTCCTGGGTGAGGATTTAGCACATGCTGGCCTGGCTGTTTCCCAGAACTCCTTTCTTGAGGAGAGTGCTGCTCCCCTCTCCCCTCTACCTGAAGGTTTCCCTGCGCCACTTCTCCAAAGTGTCTTGGCTCATCCCCAGTGAAGAAGCCACTTACGGGAGCCTGAGAAGGGGCCTCTCCTGAGATGTCACAGGAGACATTTGGAGGTTCCTGGTCCCTATAATGTTCCAAGTTCACTTTCTCTTTGTCATTCTCCTGCCTATCTCCTGAAAGAAAAAAAAAGAAAGAAGATCTGAAACAGTTCAGTAAATTTTATGTCCATTTTCTAACTTATATGCCAAAGAAAGGTGCATCATAAGACATGGATTCTTTCTACCAAGAAGGCATCAGTGAGCAAGGAAAAAAAAACAGATCCAGCCTGAAGGCCTGACACTACATTTTGCATGCCCTGTGTTCAAGGATAAGTGGTTCTATATCAAGCTTTGTATCATTACACAATAAATTATGCCATTTATCAATTTTACATTAATTCTCCTATTCACAAGTAATCCAACAACTCATGAAATACAGCCATCTGTCATTTTACAATGGTTTTACTGCAGTGAGGCTATAGTGCACAAGTTAATCCCTCAGTCTGTGCTTCAATTCAGCATCCACATGTCCTTTATTAACTCCGAAAAATAGTTAAAAGTTTTTCTCATTATAACTCAGTTTTTGGCTAACATCACTACACAATGACGCATACTTTAGATTTTTATGTTGGTGGTAGAACTCATTTTCATATGTTTGTATATTTTTTTTATTCCTGTAACCTAAAGAAGCAATTTACCTTTTTCTTTCATGTATCAGTTGTCTTTCAAGGCCAAAATTACTTGCCCCAGAGCTACACCTGAACTTGCTAATCTACAAATTCCTCTCAAATGGCAAAGGCACTTTCTCTTGCCTTAAAAAAGTCTTTATAAACATTATTTTTAAGGGCTGAATAATGGGTCCATCACAGAAATGTACTACACATAAGCTGCTTAAGGATTCTCCAACTGTAGAAAATTATTTATTGTGTTTTTGCTATTATAAATAATGCTGTAATAAGCAACTTTTCTTCATAAGTTTTGTCCATATTTGTGACCAATACATTAAGAAAGGCTCCTCCAAGCGGAATCAGTGTTATCAACATACATGAATGTTAAAGCTCTTGGTACCAGTTACCATTAGCCATCGAGTCTCCCCAACTCATGATGCTCCATGTTTGTCAGAGTAAAGCTGTGCTCCATAGGGTTTTCAATGGCTGATTTTTTCAGAATTAGATATCTGGGCCTTTCTTCTGAGGCACCTCTGGGTGGACTCGAACCTCTAACCTTTCAGTTAACAGCCAAGTGTGTTTACAGTTCCCACCACCCAAGGGCTAAAGCTCTTGATACCTACTACCAAATGATTTCCAGAGCAACTGTGCCATCTCCTGACATAAGTGTTCAATACTTAAGTATTGAATGTTTTTAAATATTTGCCATTTGGGTAGGTAAAAATGTTTTTCCATTGTATTAAATTTTAATTCCTTAGTTATTAAAGGATGAAACTATTGTTCACATTTATGAGTTACATTTCACACTCCAAGACTGCTGCTATTTTTCACTGGGGAAGTCATTTTTTATCAACTTACATTAACTCTTTATATATTAAAAAAAAATCATTATATTCATGGAAAATGTTTTTCATCAATTTGTTTACACTAACTTTGAGATTATTTTTATATGCACGGAAGTTGAGTTTTTTCTATTTAAATATAGTCAAGTCTATTAATCTTTTCCTGTATTTCTTCTGTTGCTTTTAAAAATATTTAAATTTTATATATTAAATTTTCCCCATGCAGACATCAGTTAAATATATACTCATTTTCTTTTTTTAATTTTATTTTTGTATTTTATTTCTTTTGAATTTGTTTTCATCTTATTTTGGTATGTTGTTCCTGCTGTTGTTGGGTACCATCGACTCAATTCCAACTCATAGCAAGTGTGACAGACTACAACTGTCCCATAGGGTTTTCCTGGATGTAATCTTTACCATAGCAGATCACCAGGTCTTTCTCCCACAGAGCCAATGGGTGGGTTCAAACCACCAACTTCTCGGTTAGCAGCTGAGTGCTTAACCGTAGCACCACCAGGGCTCATGATTTTGGTATATGATATACATAAAATCTCAACAGATTTGTTTTCCCACAATGCTCATTCAACACTGACTCATCCCTACTGATACGTCTTCCTTCCTCCTTCATCATATGTAAAGTTCTTATACAGCCCAGCTTCTCTTCCTAGGCTCCTTTTTCTGTTCCATTGATCTGTGCATAAATTTTTACATCAGTATCACATTATTTTAATGATCTGACCTTTATATTACATCCATCAACAACCAGCTGCTGCTGAATCAATTCCGGCTCACGGTGACCCCATGTGTGTCAGAGCAGAACTGTGCTCCATAGGGTTTTCAATGGCTGATTTTCAGAAGTAGATCACCAGGCCTTTCTTCTAAGCATCCCTGGTTGGACTCAAATCTCCAACCTTTCAGTTAGCAGCCAAACACTTAACCGTTTGCACCACCCAGGGACTTGGTAATACAACAGACTCTTTGTATTTCCAGATCTAACATTCATGAACTTTCTCTAATCAAAACTTTTCTTAAAACTATTCTTGCCTATTGAATTCTTGCAGATAAACTTAAGGTTATCATTTTCTCAAATACTAAAAAAATAAACCATTCATGGTGATTTTGATTAGCAGTCTGAGCCTATGGCTTTTGAGGCTCACTCTCCTGCTGGCCTGCTCTAACTATGAGCTCTTCATCTATATGGTCAATCAAAACAGCACATGCGCTCTCTCCTGTGATTTCGGCCCTTGGTCCTAGTCCAGACCTGGCATACTGGCTAATTATTGTATCTCTGAGACAGGTCCTTGTCCATTTTGTTCTTGCTGCTTCTACATTCATCTAGGATCTTGTTCCAGCAACCTGGATTCCTGCACCAACCTCCCACAGGGTGCCTTTCCTCCAAGCATTTCCTTTCCAGTCCATCCTGTCTATGCTACCAGATTAGTCTTCCTAAACCTTTAAGTACTTTTTTTGCTTAAGAACCTACAATGACTTTTCTTTGCCTATCCAGGCAGGCCGACCTTCTAGACTTTCTACAGTCTGGGTCAAGGTAGGATCTAATGGGGCCAGGTCAGCAGGTGAGAAGAGGCGGAAAAAAGCAGAATGAGTGGTGATATAGTCATCTGTATATAACAGATAAAAATCCCACTGCAGTGATCTCTAAAGCAGTACTTTCAAAACTTTCTGACTGCTAACACAGTAAGACACATGTACACCAATGTTCAATGCAGCACTGTTTACAATGGCCAAAAGGTGGAAACAATCAAAATGTCCATCAACAGATAAATGGATAAACTAAATGTGGTACATACGCACAATAGAATATTGCTCAGTCATAAAGAAAAATGAAGTCCTGATACGTGGACCTTGAAAACATTATGCTGAGTGAAATAAGTCAATTGCAAAAGGAAAAATGTTGTATGATCTCACTCTTATGAAATATTTAGGGCAGGCAAATGTATAGAGACCAAAGTTTATTAGTGGTTACCGGGGACAAGAGGAAGAGGCAAAGAGGTAGTAAAAGCAGTGAGTTTCTGTTTATGGTGATGGAAAATTCAGCAACAGATATCGGTGATAGCTGCACAACAGGACTAATGTAATAATGTCACTAAATTGTACACTTGAAAAACATTAAATTGGCAAATGTTATGTTAATATATTTTTACAAGAACAAAAATATATGTTTACTTGGAAATATAGTATTCAGACACTCACATTTATTTTAAACAGAAAATTCCTGAAACACTGCCTACTACTTATCCCTACTATATTTGAGGCGTTCTCGTATTTTCTATTGTCTCTTTTCATTTTTGAAAAATACTGGCTGCAACCCAGTAAAATGATTCAACTCACTAATGGATCATAAAAAACAGTTTGAAAAATACTGCTCCAAAGGAATCCTTGTGAAATAGTATAATGATAAACATAACTGCTAAAAATTAAAATCATGTCTCAGGTGATGTTTGGTCCTCTGGTATATCAGCAAAGGAAAATACACAATTAGATCCCACTGCGGAGAAAGAGCGGCTTATTGTACAATTTTCCATCTTTGTTCTTTTCTTTTTCCACAGTACTAGCATTTACTGCACATGTAAAATGTGTATGTGTATATGTGGAAGTGTGTGACATATGTCTATACCAATGCCAGCTGCCACTGAGTCAGCTCCGATTCATGGAGACTCTGAGTGTCAGAGTAGAACTGGGCTCCCGAGGGTTTTCAATGGCTGATTTTTTCTGAAGTAGATCACCAGGTCTTTCTTCCATGGTGCCTCTGGATGGACTCAAACAGCCAACCTTTTGGTTAGAAGCCAATACATATGATAGACAGTTAGGCTGTACATAACTGTAATGTTTTAGAAAAAGCACAGAAGGCAAAGGGTGACTGATACTTCACAATGGAACAAGTTCAGGTTTCTTCTCACCCAGTCTTAAAATGCATGATCCATATGAAGTATTTGTTGTTGCTACTGTTTAATGAAAGTTAGGTGCGTAGAGAGTAGATGAAGTATTTTTTCTAGTGGTTTGTTTTATTTTGTGGAGGGTGAGATGGTTACTATTCATTATAACCAGAATAAGAGAAAACTAGTTACACTCTTCTTGCCAGTAAGGGTAATGATGGCTATTACATAATCTTTTTTTTTTTAATGGAATTCTACCCATATTTGTATTGGTCTCAATCTGTACTAGTCTTAATTCTCACTAAGAGAAAGCTATCACGACAGTTTTACAGACAACACTGAAGAGAGCAGATCTGATGTGTCCTCATTCTTCCATCGTTAAATGTACGTGTCAACAGCCCTACAACCAGAGACGAGAAGACCCAGCCTCAGTATTCCAACTGAACTGACCCAACAATGCCTAGTTATGACCAAAGTAATAGAAACCAAAGGCCTACTACCTCCACCACCTCACCTAACTTAGCCAGGAGAGGTCAGAAATGGCTCAGGACCAATGGAAGATCACTCACCTGTGCAGGTGGGCATTGGGATGTTCTCCCCGGCATCAAGGTGAAGTCTTGCCAGCTCCTGTCCATGCTCTGCTGAATTAGCCAGGTCAGATTTGGGGCTGGAAATGTCTGGCACAGACAGAGATAAGTGTGTGTGCCCGGGTGAGTGGGGAGGACCGTGAGCCCTTGCTGTGTCTTTCCAAAGAGCATCTTAACCAAAGGCGAAGACCGCTTTGGGAATCTCATCTTAGAAGGATACGTGGGACTTGTCATAGACTAGTACTTACAAGATCACCGAGAAATATGTTGAAAACGAGAAAAAGGAGTCTGAGCAGGTGGACAGAAGGGCCTACAGACCACCTGGGAGGCTGGAACAAGGGTCGTGACAGGGCTGCAACCACATTTGGAGGAGGCATGGTGGTTTAGTGGAAAGAGCATGGACTCAAAGCCAGCGACGCCGAGTTCCATCCTGACTCAGCACTTTCGAGGGATGTAACAGGGAGCCAGTGACTCGATCTGACACTCACTGGCATCGTCTTTAAATTGGGACTACCGTCGCCCATTTCAGAGGGCTGCTGTGGAGATTGTGTATGTAATGTACCACTAGAGCCCCAGGCATCCAGTGCAAGGAAGTTCTGACTACAGCTCTGCCAGCTCCCACTCACCCCAGTTCCCAACTGTGTCACTAATGATTTCCTTACCCCGAGAACTTCAGGGTGAATGGTTATCTCTGAAAAAACACAGACACTGACTAGGAGCTTCGCAGTCCTTCCATGCCCTCACCTCCTGAGACCATTTTCCCATAGGCCTCCAGCATGAGATCCCAGTAGTATTCCTTTTGAGTAGAATCCAGATGCCTCCACTGCTCCTGGAAAAAATACAATGTCGTGACCATGAACATGGCTCCAAAGGAAGAGGTTTGAACCCTGCCTTCCCTGCCTATAGTAAAACTGAGAAGGAAGGAATGTGCCTTGGAATCCTGGGCATCAGAAGATTTGAAAAATCATGGAAAGAGGGATTCAAGCGAAGAAGAGGCCAAGAGGGAAACTACGGTCCCTACTTCAGTATTTCTTACCCTGATTATAAAATGTTTAGGTTTTAAGGTATGCGTGTGTTTTAAGTTGTGCCATGTGTTTTAAGTTGGGAATGTGTGTGTTTTAAGTTGCATGTATTTAAGGGTAATCCTTCCTGTTCAATGGAGAACATACCAGAAGGCAGGAGCCTTCACTCTTTCTTTTTTAACCCTCTCATGTACTTATTGCAGGAGCCTGATATTCCAATATTTAACTGAACTCAGGAAATTCAAGGGGGGAAAGAAAGAAATGAAAAAGGAATTTGTTGAAAAGCAAGCTCAACTCAGCAAACAGGAAGGAAGAATCAATAACAAAGCCAACTGAGTTGTGAGCCTCACGATGAAACAAAGACCGACAGAGTCAGGGAAAGAGCTGCACACCCTGAAGTCCCCAAGAATTCTGGTCTGCCATTCAGTCAGTGGGTGCACTCTCGGGAACAAGGTGTCCCTCAGTAATCCCCTAAAGGAAACTTCTTTTCCTGTGGAACCAGAGACTCAAAACAGGAAATACCAAAGGGCTAGAGTCTACTTTCATGAATCCAAATTTCAGTCTCCCCACCAAGAAGCCAGTTCTTTAGATATTCACCTTGTCTAGCAGAGTGATGAGCAGCCCATTCTTTGGAGCCAGACATACTGTGTCCCAAGTCCCAGCTTTGCCACCTTCTAGCTGTGTGACCCTGAGCAAGTTACTTAACTTTTCTGAGCCTTACCCTCACCTAATAATAATCCCCAGCTAAAAAAAAAAAAAAACAGATTTAATAGAAATAATCCCAAGTGTCACCAGTTTTATAGCATACTGTACTTTTCATTCACAGCATTCATCACAGTTTATTATATATCTATGTATAGACACACACACAATTATTTAATATTTGCCTCCACGGCCATGTAAGCACCATGACAAAAGGACTCTGTCATTCTCTCCACTGTACTTCCCCAGTACCCAAGACCCTACCTAGGACAAGTAGGCACTCATTTTATGCCATGTAGGTGGCAGAAAGCACTTAGCAAATATGTCCTCAGTGGAAGCTGCATACTATTATTACTACTATAATATGCAGTCTACGGGGTGATCAGTCCCCCGGACTCACCCCAGGGGTTACAGAGAGAATTCAGGGATTCTGTACACTTCCAGGAAACAGAGGTGACCAGTGGACAGCCATGCATTATTGTCCCTGCCAGGCATGACCAGAGGCATTATGAAGTCACCTTCCTTTCACACACTATGCACACTCAGGGAAGCCATTCTCAGTCCTACATCAAGTCGTCCACCTACAACATCAAAGGACACTGGAGAATGGATAAAGGACAAATGGAGATACCAAAATATCTTTAATTAGCAGATAGTAAGCACAAGAAAAGGAAGGAGGGGGCTGGATTTTTTAATGTGGAAAGGACAGGAAGTGAAAAAATTACCTCAATATATTTAACCATTAACTATATAAAAAAACCCAAACTCACTGCCATTAAATTAATTCCGACTCATGGTGACCGCATGTGTTAGAGTAGAACTGGATTTCCTTGGCCATCATGTATACAGAAGCCGAATACCAGGCCATTCTTCTGTGGCACCGCTGGATGGGCATGAACCACCAACCTTTAGGTTAGCAGCCGATCGCAAACCACTTGTACCACACATTTCTAATGTAAATTTTAATATAAAATATATGAATTGGTAGCAGTGTATTTTGTTAATCTTCCATGCCTGAAGCTACCTGAATAACCCTTTGAAAATAACTGGCCAGAGTAAACGGCGCAGATAGGAATGCTCCATTGTCACAATCAGAATACACAGACCCTCGCTTCAGCCTGGTGGAGGGCAGGGTGGGAATTCAAGCACAGAAACACTGATTAGCACCTGCCTCCCTGGGCACAGGGCCTATTCCATGGGTACCAGACTGTCCCCACCAACAATAGGTGAGAACAAGGCAAAAAACGATAGAGCCCCCCAAAGCCCCAAAGACCTCAGTCAGCGCATTTGAAAACCAGAAAAGTCGCCTCACGGGTCTCTCAACAGTGTACCTCCAGCTTAAAGCCACAAACATACTCAGACATCTGCCAAGAAGCTGGGAAGGCTGGAATAAGATCCCCTATATTAAGGGTTGCTACGAGTCAGCATTGACTTAACGCCAAGGGGTTTGGGTTTTTTTAGGTTTTACGTACAGGGGAGACACCAACTGCAGCCATCTTGTCATTTTCCATTTTTATAAGAGGAAAAAAAACTTAACTTCCTATTCTGGAAAGACAGAAGTGTGGGACTGAATGGGGAAGAAAACTTCCTTTTAATATGGAAATACCGCCATCTTGCGGGTTTAGGAGGTATTACCACAACCGTCACAGTTATTTGTACTGTGTTCCTTTCCCTTAAGTTTGAAAACAGAGGAATGAGAGTAAACAAGTCCAGCTTGTGAGAGTCCAACTCAGTCACAGGTTCTGATGACGAAGTACCACGTGCAGTGATATGACTGCACTATTCTGGCATTAGTCATTCGAGAGAGCGATTACCCTTTAAAATTCCCTTCACTTAAAGGGATTCCATTAAATATCAAGGTCCTTCTAATGCAAAAAAATATTGCTAGCTTGGAGTAGGGATACTGGGATTGGATAAGGATGATTTTTATTGGATTGAGCTGAGTGGCTGTTACTCAGCTATCAGCTAAATGTAGGGATTAAATAGTTGCCAATAATGAATCAGGGCTGCTAGTGGAATATTGTGAATCTCTTGAATTAACACAAAGTCAGAACAGGTAACGGTTGATATGTCCACTGTACTACTTAAAATATGCTAATACATCATATATATCTTTCATGGGTTACTCTGTACTTACTACAGAATCAATAATAATCCTCCGAGTCTGGTTAAAACATTTCACAGAATATCCAAACCCTTTTCACCACGCAACATCCAGCTTAATAATTTGGTTTCTAGGTACCCTGAAAGCATTACCTTTCACCTATTGGCCTCTCTATCTTCAGCTTCTGTCTGAAGTACCTGATGAGATAATTCCCAAAGAAGAGTCCCTCAAAGGTTTGAACAATGTCTTGGTTAAAGTGTGTTGTTGTTAGCTGGCATTGAATACACTCCAACTCAAGACAAGCTTGTGTACAACAGAACAAAACATTGCCTGGCCCTGCATTATCCTCACAATCATCAGCATATTCAGGTCCATGCTGCTGACTGTCTGGCTGTTTTGCCAATCTATTTCACTGAGGGTATCCCATACTCTCATTGCCCTCTACTTCACCAAACATGAAGTCCTCCTCTAGTAACTGATGACGTGTCCAAAGCAAGTCACTCAGAAAACATTCTGTTGTGAACCGTAAGGTTTTCTTTGACTAATTTTCAGAAGCAGATCACCATGCCTTTCTTCCTAATCTGTCTTGGTCTGGAAGCTTTGCTGAAACCTGTCAACCATGAGTGACCCTGCTGGTATTTGAAATACTGGCGTTATAGCCTCCAGCATCACATCATCACACAAGCTACCACAATACAACAAACTGACAGACAGGTGGTGGTAAGATGTATAGGTTCCTGGAAAACTTTCGTTTTTTCAAATGCAACTTTTCAGAACCATCAACTACATAATCAAGATACACCTGTCCCAGGGAGTTCAGTTTCCAGCCAAGACAAAATAACAGGGTTTGGATTTATATTCCTGACTGCAACAGCCTTAAAATGGGAGCAAAACATAGAAAACAATGGTTTTCAGACACTGCAGCACAAAAAGTGATCTCTGAAACTGGAGAAACAAATAAGGTGAGCCCTACAACTGCCCCATCTGACTGCCTGGAGATAAGTGTCCACACAGCAGCTCAGGGAGAGGGAACCCCCCAAGGAGCCCAGCAGCCTCCCTACATTGGGCAGGAGTTGAGAGTCTGAGGAGACCAAGGTAGCTAGATTAGCGGGGCAGAAGACCAGACAGGGGAGAGCTGCACAGAGAGACAGCTCAGGAAATTCTGCCCGTTAAGTATTCAGCTGAAACCCGAGCAGTGCAAGTGTGTGAGGAAACTACTTGAGCCTGGAAAGAACCACCTAGAAGAAGCAGAGGGAACAATCCCAGAGCTCACAGAAGGCTGGAAATAGTTCACACTGCCACCAGCCAGAGTGGAAAACTCTGTACATCAAGGGGTATCAGGTAGAGTACTCAGAAGGGCATTGCCTCAGTAATAGGGAGAAATAAGCCCTAGACTAAATGATTCTCTGATGCCATATAACAAACTGTGTCCAGGTTAACTTAACCGCATCCCAGGGCAAAGCTCAAGAATACTGATATGAATACAAAACTACCCAGTACCCAACAAGGTAAAATTCACAAATGTCTGACATCCAATCAGAGATTAAAGGGCATACAAAGAAGCAAGGAAAACACAGTTTATAATGAGGAGATTAATCAATCAACCAAAACTGACACAGGTGACAGAATTAGTACACAAGGATAATCATACAGATATTATAACCATGTTCCATACGCTTAAGAAACTGGAGAAGAGATTGAACGTGTTAAGCAGAAACACGAAAGGTATAATAAAGCCTCATTTCAAACTTCCAGAGAAGAAAAATATAATGTATAAAATGAAAATTACAGTAGATGGGATTATCAGCAGTTTTGACACTACAGAAGGAAAGGTGAGTGAACTTGAAGACATAAAAAGAGAAAACTATCCAAAAACAGAACAGACCATCAGCAAGCTGTGGATAATTTCAAGCTATCTAACATATGTACACGTTATACGTATTCCACATGTATTATTCTTGGAGTTCCCAAAGGAGAGGAGAGAGAAGGAAGAAGGAAAAA